GGAGGATAATTGATAATAAAGAATCTCTTACTGAAGGATAGTCGACTTTTTAAAAGTTACGCGGGTTACACTTTTGCCAATTTCTTATTGTCTTCTCCTAATTATACAGGGTGATTTATTAGCTCATCATCAAACTTTGACATATGATAGCTAATCCAATTACCAAAAAAAAAAATGTTAATGAACATATATCCTATTTGAATTATTTATGAAATTATAACACTTTAAAGTTTTTATTTTTATATCATAATTAACTGCTACATTTTTTTAAAAACACATAAATATTACAAATATTGTTCAAAATAGCCTCCTTCTGCTAGAATACATATTAAACCTCAAACGTTGATAATAATAATAATAATAACTTTATTATCCCAACAAAAATTTGTTTTCCAAAAAGAGAGATAATATTATAAACAACATAATTAAGCATATGAACGTTTAGCATCGAAGAATGATACACATTCGGTCGTATAAGCAGCTGGCATCAATTTGTTGAATGGGAAATTCAGTCCAATATTTGTGTGACCGCGATTGGTAATAAAAACATTAAAGTCACGAGCACCAAACCTCGGAACTCTTATATTCAATTGCGACAAAACACCCGACGCAACCACCACACCCGAACATATATTGCTGACATACACTTCCTTCTGTCTTCAAGGCTCTGGAGACCATAACGATGTAAGAGATATGGATAGTTCAATTCCCCTCGAGGCGGATAATGATCAAAGTCCAGGAAATGCATGAATCTAACAAATTTACGTTGTACCCTTCGATGGTGGTGATAAACAATACAGCAATACTCAAGTTTGCTTCTTACGAGTGTGAAGTAGAGATTTATTATTATGTTTATACGAGCAAATTCCAAACTATTTCTTGTTATAAATACAAGTGTTCTGAGGCAAACCTTAAAAGACAAACCAGGGTCGAACCACACACCGAGATTCCTCACCACAGAAATACGCAATAGGCAGTCAGCCCCAAGTTCATAATCAAAATTGATGGTGTTACGTTTCCGGCTATATACTATTCGTAGTACACCACGAATAGAGTCTATTTAAGTCCAATTGAAGTGAAATGCAAAGCTCATTGGTAAGTCATTCACAAAAAAATTGAACAGTAGAGGACCAAGTATGGATCCTTGAGGTACGCCACTAGTAACGCTTACTTTTCTCGATTTATTACCAGCCAACTCGATTTGACATATACGATGACAGAAACCGTGTAAGAGAACAATCATACCCAAACTTCTCCAACTTTTCCGTCAACAAGAAGAGGTCTAAACAATCGAAGGCCCGTAAGAAATCCGTGTATATAACATCCACCTGTCCACGGCGATCTAAGCGATCTAACAAGTTAGTGGCTGTGGATCTACCTTTGCAGAAACCATGTTGTTGTTCAGACATTCGCGCTTTGGTGTAGAATTCCATCTTGTATGCCACGATTTGTTCAAACAGCTTCACAAGTTATTTACAATGGCTATTGGCCGATAGTTCATCACACAGCACCTATCACCTTTTTTGAAAACAGGACAAATTCTGCTCAATTTCCAGGTTTCCGGAAATTCAGAGTTCCTTACAATTAGATTGAAAATATGTTGATATTGAAACGTTGTTGAAATTTCCTTGGTCTAATCGCATGTGGATTTTGTAATACCCAGATATGTTCATTATGGTAATTATGTATATCATCTCGTGTAAAACATGATTCATCTGTCCAGAGAACATTTGAAATGAAGACAAAATGCTAACCGTTGCTGATTATCTCCTTGCTGTAGAGCTTGAACATTCTGCTTATGATACAGATGAAGGACTTTGCGGTTCAATACGCGCCATGTTGTGTGCTATTCTTCGAGTGCTGATGGAAGGATTATCAATGACAGCATCTTCGTCCTCTACATTAACTACATGCGGTCGAATAGCTTTTGCTGGAGCAGGATTACCTGTTTCTCGAAGACTTCTGAAAGAATCGCTAAAAACTGACTAATATGGCAAATGACGCTGTGGAAATCTTTCTTGATATTTTCCTACTGATTATCGAGCATTTCCATTGCAAAAACCATACACGAAAATTATATCAGCATACTCTTCAGTGCTATAAGCGTACATATTGACTTTCTTCTTGTATATAATAATTAAACCTTACAGCAAATTAACATATTTTTGATTTTACTGATTATTAATAAAGTCGCTGCAGAAGTTTAAAGTGAAGAACTTTAAAGTGTTATAATTTCGTAAATAATTGAAATAGGACATTATGTTCATATATTATACAACAAGACGATCGAAAATACTCGATAATGCGAGACGTATTGCCTGAAACACCACGAGACCGAAGGTCGAGTGGTGTTTTTTAAGGCAATACGTCGAGATTCGAGTATTTTCGATTGTCGTGTTGTATATGGCTAAACTATTTCATGAAAAAAAAATATACATATTTTTAGAATTCTTATATTTTTTTAATAAATTACATTGATTGCTATGGATGTCTCGAAATTAATTAAATGTCAAACAAGCGATAATACAAAGGTTCGTATTATCGTTCTCCACGGTTACGGCCAAATAACCGCTGAAATACTCGCAATTGACGGAAAACCGCGAATTCTTATTGGCTGTTAAGGTTATGAATGAAATAGTCATTAACCAAGGACAGTAGAATCTAACAGGACTGCTACATTCATTGTATTTTTGTAGTCCACTGCGGGTTGGTTGCCCGCACTCTACGTCACACTTTTTGCCACGCCTGGTAACTCTCTGTGTTTTTAGAGGTTATATGATAGACATTAATACGTCTAAAAACGTAAAACTTCAAAAATAATATGAATACGTCTACGATATAACCTTTAAAAATACAAAGCAAACGCATAGACCATAACAACAGCTGGGCGTGGAAAATGGTGTGACGTAGTTTGCGGGCAGGTTGTCACAACAATGGATGTAGCAGTCCTGCTAGATTCTACTGTCCTTGGTCATTAACATTTTTTTTTGATTATTGGATTAGCTATCATATGTCAAAGTTTGATGGTGAACTAATAAATCACTCTGTATAAGACTATTATAATATGGTTTAAAATTTTACGCTCTATAAAAGCACGCGGCTTTCACTGTTGATTTACATTATGATCGGCGTAGCATTTAATATATTGCAAATTTCCTTGGCATTCTTAGTATAATATTTGATACAATACACAAGTTTAGACAGACTGGTTTAAATACAAGAAAAAGACCAAGAAGTCCATTGGAATTTGTTTAAGCATATGCAATTTGAGGAGGATAATTGATAATAGAGAATGCCATCTCTTATATTTTTCGAAGAATAGTCGACTCTTTAAAAGTTGCGCGGGTTGCATTTTTGAAAGAAAAAGACCAAGAAGTCCATTGGAATTTGTTTAAGCATATGCAATTTGAGGAGGATAATTGATAATAGAGAATGCCATCTCTTATATTTTTCGAAGAATAGTCGACTCTTTAAAAGTTGCGCGGGTTGCATTTTTTCCAATTTTTTATTTCTTATTGTCTTCTCCTAATTACAGTGTTGGGGTGTTGACCCATTTCCTGTATTCTTGCCTGTTGTTGGCTAGGTTCTTTATTTGTCCTATCATTTTCCCTCTCTTTTTGACTGTTTCCTCTATGTTATCCTCTAGGCCATCTTCTGAATCTTCTTCCATCCTGATCTCCATGATTCTCTTTGGGTATCTGTCATTGCTCATCCTTCTCAGGTGTCTGTACCGTACTGAAGTTGTTTTTTCTCTATTAGTTGTACCATGAGATCCTGCCCTAATACTTCTCTTTCTCACCCTATCACGTTCCGTTCTTTCTACCACTCATCGTTGGTGCATTTCTGACGCAGCTACTTTTGATCGAAGTTTCTCTGTTGTCGTCCATGATTCGACTTCGTATGTTAGGGATGGCATAGATATATATATATAAGGATTTATACAGAGGCATTTTCGTTTTGTATTTATTTCCTCCTTCTTTATTACTATTTTGTCAATAACGAATGACCCTATTGCTAAGGTCATTCCTTTCTGTTTGAAGTTATTCTTCTATATTTTTATGTTTCCTTGTAATTGACATTGTTTTTTGGCTATTAGGAAGGTGTCATCTGCATATAATAGATCCCTTGTTGTTATTGGGTTTAAGTTAGGTATTCTAAGTTTAACCTTTTTGTTTCGTATTGGCATTTGATGCTCACCTGATTCGTGTAGATTATAAATAAAAGGGGACTCAGGCTATGGCCTTGTTTTAATCTTTTATTTATGCAGAATTATTGGGAACCATTTTTTTGCTAAAATGTTTGGGCTAATAAAAATAAAAAATTACGTGTTTTCTCTCTTCTATCATCCCAATCCGTTGGTTTCAGGATTCTCTCTGACATAGCCATCTGAATACCACATCTCCAGGTAACTTTTGGTCTTCTTCGATTCTTTTTTTTGTTGGTATCCACTGGAAAGCATGTTTTGGAAATGTTTGATCTGGCGTTTTCTCAATATATCTGTATCAGATTAGCTGTTTTTATTGAGTGTCTCCTATTATTGTTTTCTCCACCTTCATTATGCCCCTAATTCTTTCGTTTCTTACTCTATCTATTGTCTTTGTTTAAGGTTCTTTGTTTCCTGCCAAGTTACTCTTAGCGTTTCTTGTCAGGTGCTATGTTTTTAGACTTCAGATATCGTATTCTTGTTGTTCCCTTGCTCATTCTGCATTCTATTTCCTTTCATGCCCTCCCATCCCTTATTATTTTTATTTCCAAATAATTATATTCGCCGCAGGAATCAATTTTACCACTATTTTTTTACTGTCAGCTTTTCTTTCGTCTAATACACCTATATTTTTCGAAAACTTTTCTTGACATAAATTCCAGATCCTCTTTATCATGTGTAATTCCTTGGCATGATCTTCTCCATGTCTTCAGTATGCTACATAATCATAACTTATTTTATAATTAGGTACTCAGAAAAAAGTGTTTTGGATACACTTGCAGTAAACAAATCGCCATCACTTTTACGTGTTTAAACGACCTTTATTGAATACTTCTTAAAAAGTTACAAATCTATAACAGGCGATGCATATTTAATTACCTAACTACAGGCAGACGTTTCAGTTTCACACCCTCTACATTTTAAAATAGAGTACTTATGCAAAAAAGAAATATATTGACAATCTTCATTTAAAGATAAACCTTCATTGTCAATTACATTGAATTTTATATTTCTTAAGAGTAATATATCAACATTAACCTTAAAAAAAAAGCATCTACAAAATCTTATTTAGCTTCTTATAAATACAAAGAATATCAAACATACTATAATTCTTTTACTTATTCGACAGTAGATTCCTCAGAGTCTGACAATAATTTGTCAGACACTGAGGGTCAAGCTTGTTTTGTTTTCAGTTTTAAGGCAATAACGTAACGTTGAGCAACACACAAAGGATCACTGTAACCTTCAGCATAACTTGGATCTTCAAACAACAATACATATTCATCCATATGAGTCGCAGGTTGCTTATTTACAATAGCTTTATAAAAACAGGTCGTTTGTGGATATAAAGCCATCACTGAAACATTTTTAAATCATTAATCATTAGATTAATGTAAATTATTATTTTAATTTATTTATTTTCTCTTACCTACTGTTCCTAGTGGAAATAAAGCACTAGAGTCAGTTTCAGGATTTGCTCTCATTAACGGTAAAGGTATAACTCGTCGCTTACTCAACGTGTGACGTTCCTTTTGATTTTGTTCTTCCAAAATATCGTCAACTTCGTACTTATTCGTGGTGTGATTATAACTGACTACTTCCGCTAGGATGCAATCACCATCACCGTCGGCTACTTTAACCAAAGCGGCCACCATATCGCCAACCTTGGCTACATAATTTGGATCGGCGGGAACAGCACCGCATAAAGGCGGTGGTTTTTCACCAATTTTACTTACGAATAACGGAAGTGTTTGTGCAGAACTTAGTAACATTTTCATCCAAGGACCGCGACGAATGGTGTCTTTATTAATTGTATGACGAGTCTAACAGTGATAAGAGAAAAGATATAATGACAAAATGAAAATTATAAACAAATATGAAATTTCGAGAAAGCATAAGGGAAAAAATTATAATAATTTAATAAATACCTGAATTCTACGTTCGTTTTTAATGTTCCGTATTTCGGTGATTTTTTGTAAAGCTTTTCTCAAGACTTCTTCTTCTTGTTCAGCGTGAGCTATTGCGTTTTTGTATAAACCTTTTAATTTCATCTGTAAAAAAGATCAAAGAAAGCTTTAGTAAAGAAAGACCGAAAAAAATCTTAAAACTTCAGATTTTATTGAATTTACATGATTAGAGATAAATATTGTTACATTTTTAGACGAACTTAAAAACATATATTTCAGTCATTTTTATCAATGTTTGTTTTTGTTTTCTATCGAGAATATCAACGAATTATAGATAAATTTGACCAACAAGAAAAGTCAATCTTTATGGTGTTTTAAAACACCATAAACAAGAGGTTTAGGTAATTTTATATATAGTAGAAATATGGAGAGGAAACGGAAACGGCGGCAGAAAGGCAGATGTAGGGAAGGGGAAGAATCAGCGATGAAGAAAAGGAGACAATAACCCTCAAGGAGGTGCAAGACGTCATCAAGAAAAGGAAGAAGGGAAAGGCTGCTGGGGTACACAAAATAGTAGCAGTAATGGTATGGTATAGACCGAAGAAATTAAAGAACACTTCCAAACGGTATGGAGGTTAGGGCAGATACCGGCAGATTGGCAAAGAAACTTAATCTTCCCTATCTACAGATGAAAGAAAACTACAGCGCATTATACCTCATTAATGTTATTGCAAATGTAGTTCCAGAATCCTGAAGAACTAAACGAAGAGCAGGCGGGTTTCTGACCAGAACGACAAACACAAGATCTCACTTTCTGTCTGCGCTGTATAACTGATAGGTAGATTAGCAGAGGGAATCCTGCATACCTGGCTTTCTTCAATATGCACTCTGCGTTTGCTCAGGTGCCAAGGCAAGAAGTCTAGAAAGCACTAGAGAAGAACGGAGCGGTGAGGCTTAACGGGAATATCTCAAGTTTGTCGTGGGAGAAGGTGGTAGACAGGGGGACAGTTTATCGCCATTGCTATCTACAGCTTTTTTTAGTATGCAAGAGAAGAACAGAAACTTCGGTGGTCAGCATGCTCAACCTCCGACCGATCATGTGCCAGGTTCTGTTATATGCAGATGATGTAGTCGTCATTGCAGAGGAAATTGCAACGGGCTGTACTAGAGTGGTCAAAAACTCTAAAGGATAGGGGCATGATGTCGAACAAGGTAAAAAGTCAAGTTATGATGGTGACGAGGATAGAGGAACAGGTGGATAACATTCACATCGGATGTAAAGGTCAGTTTCTCACCCAGGTCAGCAGCTATCAGACATGATAATCCACCAGACTGCCAAGGCTATGGTCTGAATTGGTGTCTGTTTGAAAAGGATGAAATGCCTCAAAAAAGAAACGAAACCAGAAGGCCAAGTCAAGGATTTATAAAACTGTCTTTAAGCCTATACTTACTTAAGGCAGTGAAAGCTGGACCGCAAATAGATGTGACATCAGTAAGATTAATGCGGTCCAAATGAAATACCTCCAGAGGGTTGCAGGAAAAACACGACGGGACAAAATACATAATAGCCGTATTCGAGAAAAGCAGAAGAGGTCGAAAGAATGACTGAGGATAGATAGGTGTCCTGGTTTGATTACATAAGACGAATAGGATAGGTGAGTAAACCACCGATATACATGGAGGCTAGAGCGCAGGGAAGGCGGCCAATAGTAAAACTGAGAACAACATTGGAAGAGACAGTAACGCAGCTTGTGGCCAGATGAGGGAAGAATGTGCAGCAGCTCAAGGGTCTTGCTGGGGAGAGGGAAAACTTCAGAAGATGGATCCAATGCCACAATAGAAGCACGCTGGGGAAGAGAAAGAAAAAGAAGAAAATTAAACAGAACATAGAGACTACCACAAAAATATGATGATTATTTTTATGAAATTGTTGAAGAACTAATTATTTCTTGCTTTAAATAATTAGGGTACAAAGTGTGTGATAGTGATGATAAATGCTTTTAGGCATACTCAACAAGTAGATAAAGTTCGTCTTTCTGCTCCAAATGTTATGTAAACATGAAGAAACCTTTCAAAAAAATCATTATGGGAAATAATTTGCTATTATAAGCTTCATATTGAAAAATCTTAGGTAATCAACAAATTAATTAGAAACAAGGGCCCCGCTGCAAGCCCTTTGAACAATCTTGGGCTTTTTTAAAGAGTTACTATAATAAATATGGTCAATCCAGTTCTGTAAAAGATCTGTAATGTAAAAGAATGATTTCTAAAAAGTTCTTAATCATTATATTGCATATATGTAGAAATATAGTATCCACCACTGTGAAGAATTGATAAATACTTACATTTTTTCTATAACATATATATTAGAAATTCTATTTAAAATACATATTTTGTTAACTATATTGTTATGTTAATTACACTATTAATGTGTTTTTATTACTTTTATAACATAGATTTTACTCAGCATAGGTTAAAGACCCTTGTTTTTACATCAATAATTAAATTAGTACCTTACTTTCTATTTGATGTTTTTTTTATAAAATTCTGACACTGATTAAAAAAAATAAGACCGTTTATTACCACGTTGGCTGCCATGAGAATCACCGGTGTTCCTCAGAAAACTTTCACTAATATGCCGCGAGGATCACAGTGGATCCTCAAGTCGAAACTAGTTTTGAGACTAGCTCCTGAATATTTTCTTCACTTTCTGTTACTTATAACGACCAAGTGCTGAAGTGATAATTAGAATTTATTTATAATATTACAAATTTCATCATCTATTCCAAACCTGGGCCCAGTGGTGTAACTAGACGTAGGCCTATAAAAAAATTGAAAGAACATGAACTTGCAGCCTCACTTGAGAGTGCTGATGATTCTGAAGGAACTTATTCTCATCATCCTGCTCGGAATTTGAGGTGGTCATCGGAATCTGGGGATGAAGTGGATCCTGAAACGTCAGTTCAAGAGGAAGCTTTTTCAAGAAGGATAAATTACCACTTCATATACAGTTTTTAGGCTCAGAATCATACAAAATTGATGACATTGATACATAAAATCAAGAAAGTGTAACTTGCCATGCAGATATACCGGAAGTTTTTTGACGCAGAAGTTTTGAGTGTTATTGTTCGCGAAACAAATGAAAATGCTGCAACTACTATTCAAAACAGTCGACCAAGTTACTCGGCCAGAATTAATAAATGGGTACCAATGAAGATGAAATGTGGAAGTTTTTTGCTGTCCTTTTTTATATGGGATTTGTAAAGTATCCTAAAATAGCTGATTATTGGTCCACCAGCATTTTATACAAAAATTGTATCATTCCAAAAGTAATGAGCAGAAATAGATTTTAACTATTGCTGAGATTCGTTCATTTTGCTGATAATTCGACGGCTGACAAAAGTGATAGGTTATACAAAGTTAGAAATCTAATTGACATGATGAAGGAACGATTCAATGTCGAATGTGCCTGGAGAAGTGATAGCTGTTGATGTAACAATGATTTCTTTTCGTGACCGATTATTATTTAGACAGTACATTCCCAACAAAAACCACAAGTATGGAGTGAACATGTTCAAGTTGTGCAATCCAATTGGTTATACATTGAGCATATCACTGTATTTTGGACAAACAGTTACTGGACTACAGTCTGCTGGACTTGCTGAAAGAGGAGTAGTTATGGAACTTGCAGAGCCATATTTATCTGAAGGAAGGCTTATAGAGATACCCATTTATTAGGTACCCTAAGGAAGAAAGAAAGTACTTACCAAAGGATATCATGACAAAAAAACTAAAAAAAGGTGAAGTGGTTGGTAAATAAAATTCGAAAGGAATTGTTGTTGAAAAGTGGAAGGATAAACGCGATATTTACTTCCTAAGCACAAAACATACTTTGGAAAAAATGACAACTGGACGAAAAAACAGGTTGGGAGAGGAAGTTTGTAAGCCAGTTGCTGTTTTAGAATACAACAAGGGCAAGCAAGGGATAATACACCTTTCAAACCAAATGTCAAGTTATTTTACCCTCTTGAGAAAAACCATCAGATGGTATCACAAAGTAGCTTTTGAGGTTCTATTCTACAATCATTTTCACAAAAGGAAAATTCATATTGCCTCATTCAGGGAGATGCTTGTGCTTGAAATGCTAGGTATTGAAAAGAGTGACATTACACCAAAACGTTCAGATTCCCTGAAGCACAGCTTAGTGCAAAGTGAAGAAAAGGATAACAATCGGCAAAAAAGAAGAAAATATACAAATTGTTACGGAAAAGCTGCAAAAAAAGAACGTTCAGTGGTACAAAAACAAGGAAAATTAGTTTCCACAAGATGTCATGTTTGTGAAAAGTATATGTGTCTTTCATGTTTTACAAAACTTCATTGAAAATGCAAAGATAATAAAGATAATTTTTGTAATTCAAGATCTCTCATTGCACTTGGGTAATCCTGGTGATCCTCATGGCACTAAAGTAAAACAGTTGTTACTGTAGTGCCATGAGGATCACCAGTTAACTCACATTTTTTTGCTTTCTACCCTCATATATACCATTTACATGTAAAAAAGATTTTTTTTTTATGTAAATTATATTTATTATTATATTTAGTGTACCATTTTTTTACAGTGGCCCCTAGGGAATTACTTAATTGGTTTATTCTCATCTTACCTGATAATGTTGTGAGGATTTCTCATCTTGAGAGTTTTGCATTTTCTGAATATTATTAATCCCATGTTCACTTTGTTGTCTCTTCTTCTCAATGTCATGCACCAATTGGTACAAAGCTTTTAAACGTTCTTGTACATGTTGGGCAGCTATGGTATCTGCTGTTAAAGGCATTTCATCTATTTTTTTTTATTTCAGCAAGAATCTGAGTTGAAAAACCTTTGTAAAGCTATTGCTTGGTACCAAGATAAGCAAACTAACAAGGCTAAAAACTAAAAAAATCAAGTCGTATTATTTATAAAAAGATTTAATTTAACTTAAAGTTGTAATAATACTTACTAAATTACATAAAGTGGAAGGATTTGTAAGTTGATTTAACATAAAATGCAACATCTAAACAATTTTTGACGTTTAACTCTGTCAAATTGGTTTTCTAACCTTAGATTTTAAAAGTTTGTATTAATAGGTGACGATAATTACAGGAAACTGTACTTTATCATATGATTCCGAAATTTTGATTTTTCTTTTATAAGTTGCTAAAATTCTAATCAGCTGAAAATGTTTACCCAAACCATTATTTAAGTTAACATTGTGAAATTGTAGTATGTATTAATTTAACCTTTAGTTATTGACAAGAGAACGGATAATTTTTAAAGAAAATTATTAGAAATCAAATCGAGATTTATCATAGTGTTTATCACCATTTATTATTATCACTTAGCAAACGGTTCTTTTCCAGGATGAAGTGTCAACACTACGAGTAGAACCCTGCCATAACAACCGCGCATGCGTCAAAATTGCGTGTTTTGTATTGTATATCGTCTTTAGCCGTCGTCGTCAAACAACATTGTTTTGTTGAAGTGTAATTAAGTACTAACCGTTTGTTTAGGATGTCTAAAGATAGGGACGAAATTTTGGCTGATTTTCAGGTGAGTTTTTCTTCCGGATAGTTTTTATCGGCGATGATTTACGCCTATCGGAACTTGGCACAGTTTAGGTTAGAACAACCAGAGGATGACAGTACTAGTTTTGTTAAAAGTACAAAGGAATAAATTTTGTTACTTTGTAGGCATGCACTGGGATGGAGGATGTTACCAGAGCCATCAGCATCTTGGAAGAAAACAACTGGGATCTTGTGGTAAGACAATTTCATAGTTTCTATTGCTTGGTTCTTTTTGCTTTCATGGTCGACCATGAGCAAAAGTTGATTTGGAAAATTTTTCTGTTCTTGCTCAACAACAATAATGTTGCTTGTAAGATATGATTGATAAGACATTTTAGAATCTTTAATGTTGATCTTGATTTAAAAAGATTATCTTAAAAATCTTTGTCATGCAAAAGGTTTTGTTGAAAAACACAATTCCCTGCAAATACAATTTTAACACATTTAAAAGACTATATGGATGGAATATTTATTTTTTTTTAGGTGATGCACAGTATTAATAAAAGAATGAAAGATATTCTTAAATATATCCTTTAATAAATGAGGTTATGTATTCTAAAAGAACCAAATTAACTTTTTGGTTATTATGAACGTAATTTTTAAGAATTGTGATGGATTTTTTGTTAAATGAGTAAAAAAAGGAACAAATACTGAGAAAAATACAGTTTTTAATGTTATTATTAGATAAAGATTTGTCAATGATATGATTCCATCATATCATATGATTTTGAAATAAATTCAAGGTTTTTTTTAATTACTGCTGATGTCTGTAATTATCAATATGAATCATTACATTACTTTTATAAAATGTGAAATTAGTGTTCAATGAAAATTGAAATATTTCTTAATTTCGGCTATTTTTTAGATGTTAATTTGAGCAAACCCAAGAACTGGGCTGCTAAATCATTTAGTTTAGTAAGGATGGAAAAATCACAATTTATGTTAAAAACATTAAAGTCAATGATTTTTATTGATAAAATCGTCTTCTTTTATGATCCTTTTTTAATCTTCTTTCAATTATGCTATTTTAGTATGAAACATGTTTTTTTTCATGTTCTTGGTTGTTCGTTCATTCATTAAAACATATTTATCAATATCTTGTTGATATCTGTAGATAACGCAATAGAGATGATCTGAATGTAGCCTCTAAAATCAGTGTTGACAATTTGTTTTTCCATCTTTAATTTAAGTTCTGAAATGTGTATTGTGCTATTAAGAGTTTTAGTCTATAAGTGAAGTGTATATAATAAAAATGTTTGGATACAAAGAAGGACAATATAAGGAATTATAATGGACACCATGAGAAGTGCTTTTGTTAGAAAAGCCTAAAAATGAAGTAAGGTAGAAATTAATTTAATTAATGGTAAGTACTCTTCAGTACCAGATCAAAATAAAAGTAATAAAAGTTATAGTATATTTAATTAAATTAAATTTTAAATTTATTAGGTTACTCAACATCAGTACTGTCAATTATTTCATAATTTTTGATTTATAGAAACTGAAAAATATCTGAATCTCCATCAACCATTGATAGTATTCAGCCGTTTTTAAATATACACTCTGAAAAGCGAATACATGTCATAGCTGTACATACTTTAGCAGTCATGAACTATAACTGTGCAATGTTCTCTAATTAACTTTTGAGAGCACCTATTGAAATGAAAATATGTACAGTACTGCTCAGAAGTATATGATAATTTGGTTTTTCTCACAAAACTTTTCTAATACTGGACGAATCTTCACACAATTATCAGGCAATGCATAACAAGTGAATATAATTATATTATATTCCAGAGGACACAATATATGCCAAAGCATAGAGGCGTGACAAATTTCTTTTGAAAATCGACGTCAAGCCTAGAAATAACTTTTATTTTAATTTTATGTTTCGCGTTATTTTCACGTGATATTTTCTGAAAGTTATGAAATATTATTCTTAAGAATCAGTAAAAAGAAAGGAGTTCGAGATTTGTCGGAATTGACGCAGAAGAATATAGGGTGCTCAACAAGGATGCACACAGATGCAGCTAACCACGCAGATTTCATCGGTATTGTAGACGTGGATGACACTTGGTTGCTTCGTGACGAAGAAACTGAAATGATAGACCTCAAATCACCACCCGGCTGGAGGACAGGAAAGGCGCGATGCTGTGAAGAGCGAACACACGGCTCACGACGGTATAGATTGGGGGAGAATTGTGCAATTATCCGCAGCGCCAACCGTCTACATCGACGGTCAAGAGAAAGCTGAAGGATGCAGGACTCATTGGTCGACATCCGGTAAAGAAACCACTCGTTTCAGCTAAGAACAGGAAGGCGCGCGTGGAGTAGGCGAAGGCGCCCCTCAACTGTACCCGACAGCAGTGGGAGAACGTCCCTGTGGAGCGACGAGAGCAAGTTCCTGCTATTCGGAACTGATGGCATATCTTGCATACGCCATCTTACGGGCACTCGCTTCGATCCCAAGTACCTGCTTCCCACGACGAAGCATGTCGGTGGTTCCATCATGGTGTAGGGGTGCTTCAGCGCTGCTATCACCGGCCTTCTGGTTCGCATTTCTTGCCCAATGGACCGCCAGGAGTACAGGGACTGTCTGCAAGATGACATGCTTCATGAGGAATGTCCAACTGGATCGCGCAGCGTCGAGTGGCTTTAATGGACTGGTGCAGCCAGAGCCGCCCGGATCTCAACTTCTTCGAACCACTGTGAGACACTCTTTAACACAAGTTGACTCGTTCGGGCCACTTACGCCGACGAAAAGCTCCATCAGCTGCAGGCGAAGTGGGTGAAGATCCACTATCGATGCATTGATCGATTCCATGCCCAGATGTCAGGCTGTGATCAATAGGATGAGTTACCCAACCAAGTACTAGGTTGCTCTACATGGCCGATTACCGTTCACGATTGTTATGTTGATATTGATTGATTTTGTTGACATCGCTTTATAGCTTATTTTGGTATTTTAATAAAAATAATTTTTTAATAACTCAAAGTTGAAACGGATTCTTCTACACAAGTCTATGTCATGTGAAATACATTGCAAAAACTATGGTAAAAAAATGGTCTGCTTTCATAAAGTTTCAAAAAAGTTATGTGGGAAAAACTAAATTATCATATACTTTTGAGCGGTACTGTATATAGGAATTCGATTATGATACATAATTAGCGCGACTAGAGAAGTCGCATTACTATTATATAATGGCTGGGAAGAAATGTTTTACTGTCAAAGATAAATATGTTTGTTGAGTTGCACGAGATGAGAAGACAAAAAGAAAAGATTTGACTAGTAGTTTGGTCCCTTGTACAAAAAGGGAAGGAAAAGGACAGTGGAGGGACAGTTGGTACATCTTGTACGCGAAGGTTTCTCCTGCTAGATGGTCAGGTAGGGTTTAGAAAGGGAAGGGGAGCAATAGACAACGTGTATATATTGAAACACCTGGTTGACAGAGAACTTGATGGAAAGGGAAGGAAGCTTTATACTTTATTTATCGATTTAAAGGCGGCGTTTGTCGGAGTAAATAGAGGAAAATTATGGGAAGAGATGGAAAGAAGAGGGATATCTGGAAAAATGATAGATAAGGTGAGAGAGATATATGTGGAAACGGTAGCTAGAATAAAGGTGCGAGAAGAACTTCGCGAAAGATTTTGGATGACAAGGGGATTGAGGTAGTGATGTCCGCTTAGGCCCACCTTTTTTGCTTTGTACACTGTAAACGTAGAGGACAGACTGGCCGGGGTAATGGGAAGGTGCATGTACTGGCGTATGCCGGCGATTTGGTAGTGATCGCGAGGAAGGCGGGTGAGATGACGGCAATGATGCAGTCTTTGGAAAGGTATTTTAGATTGAAGGATTTGGAGGTGAACATAGACAAAATGCAGATAATAAAATTCTATAAAGGAGGTCGAAGGAAGACTGACGATTGGAGATGGGAGCGGAGAGTGATCGAGGAGGTGATGGAGTACACATACTTGGGGTACAGGTTTAAAGAGAACAACAAGGAAGGTTGTGTTTGACAGCTTGATAAAAAGTGTTATGATGTATGGGGTTGGAACGAGCGGGAGCTCTTAGAGAATATGCAGACCAAGTACTGGAGGTGCGTGTTGCGGTTAGATAGGGAGACTCCGGGATATATAGTCAGGGAAGAAATAAAGGTAGATAAGGTGAGGGTGGAGACGGGTAAGCGAGCGGTGCGTTTTGAGGAGAGGATGGAAGGAAGGGTGCATTGTAAAATCTTGGGGGAGTGCTACAGACAGATTGAGGCAGGAATGGGTTGTTATGGGTATCAAGAAAGGAAGGAATACTGCAGAAGAGTGGGGTATTGAGATGTGGAAACAGCTGGAGAGCAGGAACAGGGATGTGGCATTTCAAGAGAGAGGGATGGAGGCAAGGGAAAGTATGTACAATCCAAAATATTGCGAAACTGTAGTGGAGGGACTACCAATGTACATGATGAATGATGACGGAGAGGGATGAGGAGGGGAACAGGATTATAACCACGTTTAGATGTGGTAATGAAGAAATTGCAAATAGGTATTGGATGGAGGATGAGAAGACTGGGTGCAAACTGTGTGGGGAGGGTTGGGAGTCTTTACAGTGAGTGTAGTGAGTTGAGGGAGGAGGAGCTGGATTGGTGGCGGGTAGTGGGGGAAATGTTGATTTTCAAGATTTGCAAGGTATTAAGGCTTGTGGTTTATGGCGATAAACACGAAATTTTAAAAATACACAGCCCGAAAATTGGTGTTTCAAAACCTTCATAGTTGCCAGAGCTGTCCTTGCAACATTTCTAGTGAACCCAGCTTGTACGAGGTGTTTTTTTTGCGTACAGGGACGTTGCAGGACGATGAAAATGCACGCTGCGTTAAAACAACAGACCACAAGTTGGTGAAATAAACACTAACAATAATTAAGTGTCTATCGCTCCATTGTTTGGTGTCAACTAGGGTTCGCAAAATCAGGTGTGTGGAAAATATTTCAGAGAGTAAAAGAAAATGAAGCAAAATGTGAGAAATGTTACGCAATTTTAAAATGTGCGGATTTAAGCACATCAGTTTTAGCAAGCTATTAAAAACAAAACACAAAATCGATATTAAACAAAATATTGATGATGACGAACCTCCTGAAAAGAGAAATAAGAGTGCTGTTGAATCTTCTAGCATGGTGAATTTCATTCAAAGAGAATCCATGGCAGAATTACTAGCCAAGTGTGCTGCTTATGATGGTTTTTCTATTACTGCACACAATGGAAGAGACTTAGGTCATATTTCAATAAAGAGTTCTTGCGGTGTCTATGAAGTGCAGGTATTAGTTGACAGAAAATCAAATGAACGCTATTGAACGCTGAATGATATTACGCTAAATAATGAAGATGGGGCCAGCGTTATGAAAAAATATTCACAGTTGAATGGTGTTGAAAATCAATTTTGCCTTAACTAGGCAATTAATTTAGCTGTAATCGATACCTTTTATAAAAAATGTAATAGTACCAGCCTAGCACAAGAATTTTCGGATGAAGAAACAGGTTATCATTTTGATGCGTTTCGAGATGATAACAATGAAAACAATAATGAGTACAGTTTGGAAGATAAAGATGTGGAGAACATTTTGCAAAATGTGCGCCAGATAGTAAAATTTTTCGGAAAATTGCCAGTTAGGAATGGCATATTGCAATGATATGTTTTTGAAACAGAAGGCAAATCACTCTTACTAGATTATAGAACTAGATGGAATTCACTGGTATAAGTCATTCAAATAAAAGACTGCATAAACAAAGCATTAGAAGAAATCGGACGTAGTGATTTGTCCATTGCAAAGGATTTTAATTGATATATTGAAACTTGTGGAATTGGCAGTTATAGAACTGAGTAAATCATTCTCAAATTTATTAAACGCAGAGGGTGTTATAATATGTTTACTTAATAAATTATAGCAAAACGATAGTGAATTTGGAAAAAAATGTATCACTCAATAAAAAAAAAGAATTTTAGAAAGGAGACGCATACATTTAACTACGCTATATAAATTTTTACATAGCGGATCTTTCCCGCAAAGGGACAAATTTTTGGAAATTTAAAATTTTGCGAAAAGCTTGACATATGCGTTAGCATCTTCTTTGGTGGAAAGATTATTTAAAGTTCCAAATAACGAAGGTATTGAGAAGGAAGCTGATGCAATTAAAGAAGTAACAAAACCTGCAACTACAGGAACATCTTTGTTTCAGCACATCCAAGAAACGATCTCAGAAATGATGCAGGATACAGAAAAAGACAGGAGAGACCGAGTTTGGAAATAACTTTAAAAAAGAATTAAAGATGTTGGGAGCCACATAAAATTAAGACAATTTATACAAAGCTTTGGGGACTATACAACCGACATATACTGAAAGTGAAAGAGCTTTTTCCGTTGCGGGTAACTTTTGTACAAAGTTAAGGTCAAAAATGAAATTCGACCAAATAGACGCGTTAGTTTTCTTAAAATATTATTTTATAAAAACATCAAGTTTATAAATTATATTTTAATTTTGTTTTTGTAGAAAAATATATCTTTTCTGTTGTATATTTTATAATTTCAATATACATAATATCTGCTTTGTATAGTTTTAATATGATAATTATTTTGACATCCTTCTATAAACACTTTGTTGTACTTTACGCAAATTTTTTGGTTAACCGGTTTGCCATTATTAATTAACCGAAAAACCGCTTTTTGTGAACGTTAGTGTCAACCAATTCTCTATCAGATATTATGTATTGCAATTAATAAAAATTATGTATTTTTTTTTAATCTACTTGTTAGTTGATAACTTTAGTTGTGTTAGCACTCATAGTATGCCACATTTCTAATCGTATATCTTGTATATATCAGTTCTTAAAACTACGCTATGTTAATTAATTATCCTACCCTGCGTCATCATTTCAAATACGCAACCAATATCACAGTATTAGTCTTGCAATACGCAAATCGCCTAATGTGCGATTTGCACTGTGATATTGGTTGCATACTTGCAATGATGACGTCGAGTAAGATAATTAATTAACGCACTGTATGTATATTATGAAATACATGTATATTCCGTAAAATTAAGTCTGAATTATGCATATTCAACCGAAAAATGAAAGAATTGAAAATATTAGTGGGCTTATTTCCTGTCTGATTGCCTATATAATATAAACTGACAGGCAAAAAAAACGGCTACTATAAATTAGGCACAACTTCAAAGCTGGCTTTCTCGCGAACCGCGCATTCGCTTTTGATGATTCTTTTTTTTGATGGAAAGGTTGATTCTTCTGTAATAATCCTACGATAGATATTTTCATTCACGTCATGTAGTCGACGCGGCATCGAACTGATTAGGTTCGTAATTGATTCCTGAAGAATTGCGGCAAACTCTTCTTCAAGAGCAATTCGTAACTCCTGAAGGTTGTTCGGTAGGACAGGACGACGATGAATGCGTCTCTGAAGTTGGTCCCAAATATGTTCGATAGGGTTAAGGTCCGGGCTGCACACTGGCCACTCCATCCTTTCAACACGTGCTACGTGCGGTGGCGCATTGTCATGCATTAGCATGAATCACCAATAAAATGGGAATAGGGCCAGCTTCTTGCAGAATATCTTGGATATAACGGTGGGCATTTAGCGTGCTATTTTCAACAAGATGCCCATGTCATGACCGACCCTCCATGAAAAGGTACCCTTTCCGAAATTGTGCAGGTCGCAAACCTTTCGTTACGACGTCTCCACACTCGTTCTCGACCATCAGGTGACCGGAGACAAAATCGGGACTCGTCAGTGAAGAGTACCGAACCCCATTGTTCCATTCCCCAATTCATATGTATGCGCCCAAATTAAAGACGTACTCGCCGATGTCTCTGGAGCAGCCGCTGTCTTTTGGCAGGTCTTCTTGCAGTTAGATCACTTTCAGCAAGTCTTCGACGAATGGTTCTTTCACTTCCGTCAACCCCACGCACCATTTGAAGACGATGCCGAGTTTCTACAGCTGTCGTTCTACGATTCCTCAGAGTGTTTAGAACAATAAATCGGTCATCAACTGCTGTTGTCACTCGTCTTCTACCGGAACCTTGTCGCCTAGTAAAATTTCCGGTATCCACATAGCAGTTCCAGGCATCCCGAACTATTGTTTGGGGTATAACCAACGTATGCCATCGTCAATTAAAGTAACAATACGCGCAACATCAGTTACTGACACCGGCATCTTTAATAACTGTCAATTTACTATTCGAAACAACTTTGTCTTGTTTTCACAGGCGTTCGCTTTAAAACACTGCATCCTCGTTAGTAACAGAGATAATAGAGTGAATAAAAGAACAAAATGTTCAGAAAAGATTGGGCTACCGTTTGATTCCAGTTAACACCCGCTGCTGTAGCATCTGCACCCCACAGGGTATTACATATTTCGAGAAAAAAAGTTTTTCTCATTCTTGTACCCCGTATATGCTCAAATTAATATCCGAATAAAAATTATAGTCTATCGCAGGATTATTACAGAAGAATCAACCTTTCGATCAAAAAAAGAATCATCAAAATCGAATGAGTGGTTCGTGAGAAAGCCACCTTTGAAATTGTGGCTAAATTTTAGTGGCCGGTTTTTTTGCCGGTCAATGTATCAAAATAACATCATTTATTGAAAGAATATCACTGTTAAATTTTTATATGTTTAGAATATATCGTTTATGTATTAATTAATCCAAAAGTAACTTAAGAAAAGTAATGATAACAAAGTTATTCTATTTATTTTAATAGCGATCTGTTAATGAAGTAATGCCACAAGAATCCCAATCCTTTCATTCGCACTCAATGCACGATGTCGAAATGGTCTCTGAAGTGATAGATATACCGGCAAGTCCCGTCGAATCAGCAACGGATATGCTTTCGGTGGGCAATAACGTTGGTCACGCAAGGGCTCGAAGCATGCCTACTTTGGAGGATGGTTTTAATAACTCTGTTCATCAGCCGTCGACATCCGCCTCCGTAACCAGGCAGAATACCGTTCAGTTTAACGTACAGTTTGGTGACAGGATTATAAATATCGATATTCCGGATACTGGAACAATAGGTGATATTAAAAAAACATTTTTTTCAAAATAAATCATTAATGTTTTTTTAGCTGATATAAAAGCAAGATTATACCGGGAATTGAAAATACCGCCTTGTCAACAATTGTTGTCTGGTTGGGCTAGACACGATCAGTTTGAGCATGTGCCAGTTAAATCCTTAATGGCACCCAATCAAAACGCATTGAGTTTGACAGTTAAACCTACGAATGGAGGGATTTTAGCAGATCAAGAGTATTTACTTTTATGATTTAACTTTTGCTTTATGATTTTATGTCAATTTTTAGTAACAACATAACTGAACGTCTTAAAGGAACTTACGTTCTTAAGATTAAGAATTTATCTGAAGCAAATAAAGAATACCACGTGAACTATCCTGGAACGAAAACAATACTTGAAGTGAAAAATGACGTTTATACTTTTACAAATATACACGTTCGTAATCAGATTTGGACAGGTTGGCCGCCAAATATAGACGATCAAAGCATGTTAGCACTATCAGGAATCAAGTAAATTACGTTTCAGTTCATCCAAAGTAACTTTGCGGGTGAGATTTTGAAGGCGGCGAACAAAACCTCACTTGCAAAATAATGTTGAACGAATTGTATTAAAATTAATTTTTGATTGCAGTTATCCAGAACATGAACTCACCGTTCGACAAAACATCTTGATTAATCACACTAGAGATAAACGGCCCAGCAGTACCAATGTAGTCCAAATAGATAGTGATGATGAGGAGTACGAAGACGCTTCGGAATCTTTTAATGTAGATGATGATATTTTTGTCGATAATGTTACAACGAAAAGAGTGGAACCTTTAAGTAAGTTTTTAATGTTTAATTCTACATTATACCTTCGATTTTGGACAATTTAATTATAATATTTCATGGAAAATAGTTTCACAGAAGCAATTTTATTGTTCATTTGTAATAATATTTCCTATAAAAAATAAATTAAATCGGCGAAAATTACAAAATTAGAAAAAATTGTCGATTATTACAAAAATTTATTTCTCAAGAACTAAAAGTGATTTTTCAAAACGGCTTTTTGCATTAAAAAGAGAATACTATAATTAATAATTGGTGATATTTCCACAATGATCCTTTAAGAAATTAATTTTATAGCGAATTTTGAATGTTATCGATGAAAATTGCAACGTCGAAAATGTTATCAAAATTTTAATATTGTTTTCTCAAAAACTAAAAGTTATTTTTCAAAACGGGTTGGTTCATTGAAAGAGGACACTTTTATTAACACTTTGGGAAATTTTCATACTCATATTCCAAGAACTGGATTTTATACAAATTTTTAAAACTTAATCGGCGAAAATTGCAAAATTCGAAAAAATTGTCGATTATTTCAAAAAGTTGCTTCTCAAGAACTAAAAGTGATGTGTTTTTAAAAAATAAACAATGTTTATATTAAAATATATTTCATAAATTTATTAACTCTACCGGTTTCGGCCTAGACTATCGTCAGGAGTCTATAAGGTTTTAAACGTTCACAAAATACAATTAAATTAAAGATAAAATTAAAAAATATAAAATGTTACTTTACCTCGTTGTATAACGTTGAGGTTAGGAAACACATTCAAATTTACATTTAAATTTTGATATATCATTAATGGACTGTAAAATAAATAGAATGATGTATTGAAATAGATGCAAATCGAAAGATTTAACAATTATTGTATTACCTAAACTTAAAAACGAGAATAGCGATGTAGCAGATGTGTCCAGTGAAACCAGTGAAACATATAATTGCATATAATGTCAGGTGGAACATAATCATGTTCCACAGGTTGGTGTGTCGTTTTGTCAAGAACGCATGTGTAGAAATTTATTAATAGACTGGATTAATATGGTTCAAAATAAAATGGAATTTATTTATAGAATAGTGTTTGGAAATTATTGGGATATGGGAACCAGTTGGATTGTATTCCTCGTGTGTAAAAAAAGGTAGAGGATTTAGGGAATAAGAAATTTAGTTAAATGTATTTTTTGGTGGTTTGGATTTAATGTTGTATGGGTTTGATAGGAACCTGTATAGTAGGGGGATTTTTTGTAATTGTACCTGGTCGTTTAAATTTGCGGTGTTTTGGATTTTGTCGATTTCATATGCTTCAAATAGGGTGAGTCAAGGCTTCAACTTTGTTATGTTGATGGAGGAGTTTTATATTTTTAGTTTCATCAAAGGTGTGGTCGTTTGTAAGAAAGTGTCTTCCGAAATTTGAGTTTCCGTTTTGTTTATGTTGTTTAACTCGTTGTCTGATGTTTCTTCTTGTTTCGCCAATGTATGTTGCTCTGCAGGTATCGCATTGGAGTGAGTAAACGCCGCTTTTAGATAGTGGATCAATCTGATTTTTTGCGTTATTTAAGATTTGTAATAGACTTGAGTTTATTTTGAAGGTGATTTTTATGTTGTATCTTTTGAAAATTCTTTGTATGTCTATTGCAAGGTTGCCAGGGTAATTTACGGATCTGTATAGAATGGATTTTTTATTTTCAGGTGATAAAATTTTACTTATGTCAGAGTTTATTTCTTTTTGTATGTTTAGTGAGTAGATTATCTATGAGTTGAGGTGGAAAATTATTGTTATGTGCGATGTTCTTAATTATTTGTATTTCTTGGTTTTTGTAGTTCTTTTTCAATGGTGTTTCTTGTATACGATGTATGTATGAGTTGAAAGCAGCATGTTTGTGTATATGGTGGTGAAAGATATTACTGTATCTGATTGAGTAGGTTTCCTGTATATGTTGTATTCAATCCTACTTCCAACTTTTTTCAGAGTAAGATCTAAGAAATTGATGGATTCATTCTTTTCAATTTTCATAGTGAAGTTAATTTTGTTATGGAAAGTATTGACGTGTTGTAGAGAATCAAGATGTCATCAACATATCTTTTCCATTGTAAAATGTATTTATTGAATGGATCAGTAGGTTCAAGTAGTGACGTTTCTAGTTGGTCTATGAAGAAATCTGTCAGTAGCCCGCTAAGTGGATTTCCGAGTCCATTTTATTTTGAACCCATTGGGAGTCCGTCATTGTATTTAAACATTTCTCCATTGAATTGGCAAAAATTAAGTTCGATGCAGTGTTTTATTAATTTAAATAATTGTTTGGTATTGGTTGTATTTAGACGGATTTTCAGGTAATTGTGAACTATGGTTAAGGTTTCGTGGATAGGTATGTTGGTATAGAGGTTAGGGATATCAAATGAGATCATTTGAAAGTTATGAGGGAAGTTGATATGAGAAATTGTTTCTATTAGCTCTTTTCTATTTTTGATTGTGTTAGCAGGTTTATATTGTAACTGTCTGCTAATAAAGAGATTGATGAATCTGGCGATTTTCTGAGTACTTGAGTTGACAGATGTGAATATGGGACGAATAGGATGGTTTTGTTTATGTAATTTTATGATTGAATATAGCATAGGAATTCTAGGGTTCATCAGTATAAGGTTAAATTAACTTTTTACTTTTGGTATGGAATGTGTGAATGTGACAAAACGACACACCCACCTGTGGAACATGATTATGTTCCACCCGACATTATATGTTTCACTGGTTTCACTTAACACATCTGCTATATCCCTATTCTCTTTTTAAGTGTAGGTAATACAATAATTGTTAAAACTTTCGATTTACATCTGTTTCAATACATCATTCTATTTTATTTTACAGTCCATTAATGATATATCAAAATTTGAATGTAAATTTGAATGTGTTTCCTAACCTCAACCTTATACAACGATCAAAACTTCAAATATTGTTTTCTCAAAAACTAAAAGTTATTTTTCAAAACGTGTTGGTTCATTGGAAACAGGACACTTTTATTAACACTTTGGGAAATTTTCATACTCATATTCCAAGAACTGGATTTTATACGAATTTTGAAAACTTAATCGGCGAAAATTGCAAAATTCGAAAAAATTGTCGATCGTTTCAAAAATTTATTTCTCAAGAACTGAAAGTGATTTTTGAAAACGAGTTGTTGCATTAAAAAAAGGATAGTTTAATTAATAATTGGTGATATTTCCACAAGGATC